CTCTGCAGTTTTGATTCTGTAATATCCAGTCTGATCCTCAATATCATCTAAGTTATGTTCCGTTGTAGAATTTGCAGAAACTAGCAACATTGTTAAATATTTTTGCTCTATTACCATCACGGTAGTGGTTTATTTGCAGAGTTAAACAAAATCTGACTCAAATTTATGCGCTGTAATATGACTATCGTTCTGGTAATGTGTACACATCCATCCTTTTCTAAGTCTTATTTTGTTTCATTGCAGAAAACGGGACGGTTTGATGGCACATTTTAGAATACTTTGTAAGATTTCATTTACTTTGGGACAATATCGTAGTAAAAATTTAGGAAAGAATAGCCATATGAGCAAGCTTTATTATCTTATCCTTGACATACCCGGAACTGCGCGGTGGGCACGGGCAGTAAGCTGCATCAGCGCCTGGTGGACCTTCGTTACCCGGAGGACCCGGTAATCCATCGGTACCCGGTTGTCCATCCATTCCTGGTTTTCCCGGCTCTCCCGGCGGACCTTCGCGTCCATCTTTCCCATTTTCACCGTCCCTTCCTGGCTCACCTATGGGTCCTTCTGGTCCAGGCGGTCCTGGTGGTCCAGGAGCACCTCTCCCTCTTCTTCCGCTGATACCGGGTTGTCCGGGCTCACCAGGAATACCATCTTCACCTGGTTTGCCGGGATCTCCTGGTTCCCCGGGTCCACCAGGTTTTCCATCAAGCCCAGGTGGACCAGGTGGGCCATCTACACCATCTTCTCCTGGCGGGCCCATATCTCCTTCTGGACCTGGAGGACCCGGAGGACCAGCGGGACATTGCACACAACCACTAGGGTCCTCGGACATAATGGCAGTACCTTTGATTCCCGAAAATCCATTCCATCCAGGTATCCCATCCAAACCAGGAACTCCGGGCTCGCCTGGAGGTCCTGGAGGGCCAGGAGGACAATCGAAATCTCTTTCTCTTCCTGCACATGGGCAATCCTCCCTCCTCAGTCTAGTGAAGTTTTGCTGTGCTGCAGTTACTGCAAGCATTTCTCGCCAGGCATCGTCTGCGTAGACCTAAACTTCAAACTCACTGAATGCAAAGGCAGAGTGCAGGCAAATCTGGCCAACGGGGATCTCACCCGGAAAATTTTGGGGCCCTAACTGGACACCTCCCGAGAGGCAGCTCA